AATGTTAAAATGGCACTAATAATTGAAGGAATATTTATTAGTAAGACTGTTACATCTTTACAAATAAAAGTACATGAGTGCTATATAAAACCACTTAAACCTAGGGAATCTTTACTAACGATTGAAGAGGAGGAGAGTGAGGGTGAAGAGATAGCTGATCAAGAAGCTGAAGACTTAATTTTATCTGATGAAGAAAACGAGTAAATAACAGGATTTTATTTTTAATACAAATATTGTATTAAAAATCAACCAAATCCTTTAAACTCACCCACGAGTTAAATTTATCAGGATATCCAATCCATTTTACTAATGCCATTTTCTTTTTATTATCCCTCCTGATTATTTTTTCTATTCTAAATGTTTGTTGTTTTGCTTTTTGTAGTTCTTGATTGTAGAAAGAACCTTTAATCTCTTCTCCCATCAAATCAATGATACTATAAGTAATAGGTTTTGTTGGTAAAACTTTATCAATTACAAATATTTCCTCTGTCCAGTTTGGTGTGTAACCTTTATCAAATACTCGTCTCTTATACTTAGAAATTCTAACACGATCACCAATTGAAAACTTTTGTTTACCAGGTTTCAAGTAAATCAAATCACCATATAAATTAGACCAAACTTTACTCTTATTTTCTTTTTTACTCGCTTCAACAGGAGTCATTTTTATACTAGAATGTCTCACATTATTGTAGTCGTTAACCAGTTTATCAAGTTTATCCCAGTAAATAGTGTTATTATTCACAGTAAACATTTTCCACATTCTGTTTTTCATTGTTTTATTCCATCGCTCAACAACACTTGATTTCTCTTCATTTTCAGTGTGATACAGTTTAATTCCCTCTCTTTTTAAAAAATCTTTGAAATGTTTACTTATAAATTCGGAACCTTTATCTGTCCATAACATTTGTGGTTTACGTTTACTTTTAAATATATCTTCAAATGCTTTACTAACAGTTTCAGTTTTTTTATCTTTTAATCCCTTAATCCATCCATACTTGCTAAACACATCTATTACCATTAGCAGATACTTTATCCCTTTGTTCCACTTACTAAACTTTTGCATTTCAACTAAATCAACAGCCCAGATTTCATCAATCCCGTTTGAGATTACTGATCTTTTTTGAAAGTTTCTTGTGATTGGTTTGTGAAGTTCGTCGGCTAATTGTTGAGACCAATCACTACTCAACGCCGACTCGCGTTTAAACCCATTCCAAGTTTTTGTTTTGTATTTATCATAGTTCTAGCCATAGAATGGCCCCATTGTCTTTCTTTCAAAGGAATTGCATCTAGTGATTTTATCATTTTTTTATCAGCTTCATTTTTACATTTTACTTGTTCACTTTTTGGTTTATTTCCACAAACTGTGTAATCCACATCATGTTGCATACTAACCGCATCAGTTGGTCCTGTTGGTTGTTGGAAGATTTCTAATATATTACCTTTATCATCGTGTCGTAGTTGTTTATGAAGAGGATTACCAGGACCGGTATAATTATGACCTGGTAAAACGAAGCCTTTACTGGGTGCTACTTTGAGAATAGCATTGTGAATATCTAATCCTCTTCCATCTAATTTTGGTTTATCAGTTTTATACTTTTTATTTGGTCTTACTTTTGTTGATAACTGGTCCATGGCTGTTCCAACAGAATCTTGAATAAATGGAGTGAGTTTACTAATCCCATAATTTACAGCTTTCTTCTGAAGATTTTTATTTCTCATTAACTCGCTTGCTCCATATCGTCCCATTTCAACTGCTTTTTTACCCATCCAAGGTAAACCGTAATGAACAAATCCATCAACTGCTGTACCAACAACAGTATCAAAGACGCCCGCCCCTTCAGACGGGCTGATTAGTTTTTTGACTTTCTTTTTCTCTTTTTTCCACTTCCAGTTTGAGAAGCTGATCCAGTTTTCACATATCTAACTTTTTTATTTCCACAAACTGCGCATCTACAGTAGAATTGAGTTCGGCCTCTTTTATCTTTTTGGTAACCACTTGGCTCTACGCAAGGAGTTACTCTTTTATCTACAATGCAATATGATTCTACCATTTAATATAATGTTTAGATAAAATACATCTACTAAGTATGACTAATATAACGAGGATAAAAAAACAAATATTTACTCACCATCCCAGCGTCCACAAAACGGGTACGGTGGCTAAAAGTTTAATTATCTATTTATATAATAAATGGAAGCCAAATTCTTTTCTGAGATAGAAAAAAAGATGGATGTTAAAACACTCAAAGATTTTGAGAAAGAATTAAGAAAAAAAATAGTAAATGAGTTTGAAACTCTTAGAAAGAGTAATGCTGATCTTTCTAGAATACTAATGGCTGGTGAATGTGGGATGTGGGAAAAAATTAGAGATGAGGAATATTCTTGGTTGAAAATAGATAGTGATAAAAAGAATAAACTTTTTCGTCTTATTGACATTTATTGTAGTTTTGATGAAATAGTTGATAGTGTTAAAGATTTGAATAAAAAAGTTGAGAAAGTTAAGCAACTAAAGAATTTGCCAGATGATAGTGAATAAAAACTACTTAAAGAATATAATTATTATATAAATGGCAAATATGTTGGAGAAGAAGTTTACTAATAAAGATTTAGGAATCGAAATGAATTCTTATATTGACAAACAGCAAAATGTTTGGTTTCGTGGAAAGGATGTTGCTGAGATTCTTGGGTATAGAGACACTGACGATGCTGTTAGAAGGCATGTATCCAAAAACCATAAAATACGCAAAAATACCTATTACCCCGTTTCAGGGAGACAGGTCCAGAACCCAAAAACCTGCCCCGGTGAAACGCCGGGTCAGGTCAGATGGTGCACATTTATTGATGAGGCTGGTTTTTATGAACTTGTATTTAGTTCTAAATTAGAAGCTGCTAAAAAATTCCGCGATTGGGTATTTACTACAGTTCTTCCATCAATCCGTAAATATGGTCAGTACAAAATGTTTGACAATCCAAATAACAAAATGTTTAAGATTGAAAATGAGATGGACCTCCACTCTAAAGTTGTTCATCTAATTAGAAATTTTTACCCAGATGCTATTATGGTACCAGGACTTGGGGAAAATCAAGATACACCAGAGAAAAGAATAAATAGTTGGAAGAAGGGATATCTGAGAGGTCAACCTGACCTTATGATACTTAATTACCATAAAGATTATAATGGCCTTTGTATAGAATTTAAATCTCCAACTAATTACTATGAGATTTCAGATGCGCAAAAAGAAATGAAAGAAAGATATAAAATAAATTGTTACAAATTTATTTTAAGCAATGATTATGATTATATTTGTAAAAGATTACATAAGTATATGGATGGTATTCGTATTCCTTGTAAATATTGCTCAAAAGCATTTTGTAATAAAGAAACACTAAATAATCATTACAAGGTTATTCATAGAATTGAGAAAAATATTTAATTTTTGATATTAAAAATAATATCAAAAATATACTACCCCCCAAAGTATGCCTTTATAAAATCGCTGTTGTCATTATCAAAATGTGGATTATGTATTACATTTAGAATACTATTACCCCGCTGTCTCTCGTAGAGATAATATAAACACCAATAACCACATAGAACAGTATTGCGATTTTGTATTTCATCTGTTGAGTAAACTATACGTTTTCCAGAAGTATGAAAATACTTTAATGCTTCATTTGGCATTATCAACCCAAATGGATCGAAGTACTCAACTACATTGTCTATATTTCTATAACAAACCCAATGTGTTCCAGGACCTTGAATATCATCTAGATTAATTATTCCGCATTCTTTTTTTATCTTATTAGGTAGTCTATCCCTACTGTATATTCCTCTAAAATGTTTAATACCAAGTTTTTTTACCCATTCCATGAGGTCAAAGTTGGATAGAGGTTTAATTACAAAATGGTGCCGAGAATGGGAATTGAGTTGAATGGGCTGTTTTTTCCTAGTAGTAGTCCTTTTCCCCTGGATTTGGGCTTTTTTTTTTTAACCCCCATTCCAATTGGGTTGGACCATGTACCGATAAAGGGTGGAGGGTAATAAGGATAACCTTCACCATAAGTAGATGGAGGAGGAGGAGGTGGAACGTAAACATTTGATGTATTGGATGAATTACTTCTATCTACTTGTAGTCCAGATCCAAACATCTTAGATACCAGGCTAATTGCCATTGGAATTCCAATAGATGCAAGAGTTCCAAGAAATCCTCCTTCTATTTGTTTACGAGTTGGTTTAATAATTAATCGTCCACCTGTTTGATGTGCTTTGTTAATTTGGTTTATTTGTGATTGTGTAAATTCTCTTACAAGAGGTGGTAACATTGGGAAAAACTGTTTGGGGATTGTTATTCCTTTTCCAAATATTTTATTTAATCCAATTTCTCCAAGTGCAGTGGCAGCACCAGTTGCTAATGCAGGGACAACTTTTGAAACTCCTTTTATTGCGTAAGGTAGTACTTTTGCTCCAAGAGATGCCAGTGATGAAAATAAGTTTCCACCATGTTTTACAGAACGTCTAATCTGTGTTTTACTTATCTTTATATCCGATCCTGTGCCATTTGCAATAGATTTTTTTATTTTAGAAATTTGTCTTTTTGTTAACATTAACTCATCAGAACCTCGAAGATGTGAGTGTTTTAATCGAAGAGTTAGTGGTGATTTATTTAATATTGCAGAAGCCAATTTTGACTTTTGCCCATCTGTAAGTTTTACACCATATTCAAAATAAGTAGTCATTTTATTTTATTATTTAGATAACAAGTGGTTTAGGTAATTTAACTACATCCCATATACTTTTCTTAGGTTTAGGTTTAGGTTTTTTATAATTTTTTAGTGTATTTATAACAAATTTATCAATTTGGTATTGTTGTTTTAATTTCTTTAATTTTTTTGCTTTCTTGGCATTTTCTGTTTTAAAAGTCTCAAATCGGTCTTGTAGCTTTAATTTCTTTAATTTTTTTGCTTTATTAGCATTTTCTGTTTTTAAAATTTCAAATCGATCTTTAGCTCGTTGCTTTATCAGCGAATGATTTAAACTAATAACATAAGGCAAAGTTTTTTTAAACTGAGTTTTACTAAATTTTAAATCAACTTTTTTCTTAAGTTTTTTTGCAGCCTCTACTTTTTTGATTTGGGTATTTGTAAGAAAAACTTTATAAGGTTCTTTATTAGATATAAAGTCTAAAGTTATAATAGTGTTTTTTCCAAATTCTTTTATTTGTGATGGAGTTAAATTTATAACATATTCAAAGTATTTATTTTCTTTTAAAAAAGGATATTTTTCTAAAGTTACTGGTGGATAAATATCAAAAGGATTTGCCATTTTTATTTATGTGTTATATTAAGCTCTTAGCAATAGTTTTCCATCTTGTTGTGATATTTCTGCTATTCTTTCATGTAAGACCAATGCATATATATTATAATCAGCGTCTGGATTAGCAGATAATTCGTAATGAAATGCTAATTTTGTAACACCATCTTTGATATCCATTTTTTGTTTTGTTAGGTCAAAATAAACAAAAGGAAATAAAGTTTTAAAATTACTTATATTAAGTAATGTTCCTCCTTGATAATCATTATTTGCATAGACGTATGACATTACATTTCTAAAAACTCTTGACATATCTGTAGAAGGTTTAAAATGAATATCTGGATATTCGTTTCCATTTGCAACTTCCAAGTAACATCTTGATATATTTGCATTATTTGGTAGATTAAAAGTATCGTATAAAAATGGATTTGCCGTTTGTTCATCAATTCTTGCCGTATCAATTCCAAAAATAAATACATGACGCGGTTTTGATATAGCATTTGTAATTCTAAAATGACCTGTCTGTTGCTGTGTATTATTTGATCTTTCAACTACTTCATTCAAATATAACCATTTGTAAGGTTTGAGATAATTTTCCATGTACAACTTTTGTCCTTCTGAATTAAACGTAAGTTTTGGAATAAAAAGTTGTAGTCTTGTTATAATAACTCTACAATCATCAGCACCTTGAAAAATTAAATTTGCATCTTTTTCAATTTCAATATTTAGTTCAATTTTTGTATTTGGAAGTAATTTGTCTTCCAATGCTTCAAAGAAAGAATATCTATTAAGAGGAATTTCACAATTTACTGTGGCTGATACACCTAGTAGTAATTTTCTTTTATGAAAACCTTTATTATAAGTTGCTTGAGCAGGTCTTTCCTCTGCAGATGTTGATGTATCAAGAAAATAAAATTCGTTTGTAGCTACACTCTCAGCATATGAAGGATTATACTCAAGAAGATTTTTAATATTTACAACATGATTTGCATAATTACAACTATAAACTTCTCGACCATTTGCTAGGATACTTAATTTTTCTATAAATGAGTTACTACCATTTACAATTCCATTATGGTCAGCAACTGCAATGTTTCCTCCATCTGCCAGCTTATTTACTTTAAAATCCATAGATAATCGTGCGTTATACCAATCAAAAGGAGTAGTTTCTCCTGTGTTATCAGTAACAAATCTAAGACCTGTTTTAGTTTGGTGAGCGTTATTTGCTGGAGCCGCATCTAAAGTCTGTTCCAGGTCGAAAACAACATCCTCATATCTATCTAAATATTTTGGATTTCTAAAAGACTTCATTTTATATTAATAATTATATAACTTTCTCTTGCGTGTTGAACCTCCACTAAGAAGGTTATTTAACATTTGATCTATCTCTTGTTGTCTTATTGTTTCAACATTTTTATTAAAAGTAACTTTTTTTGCAGGGGGTTTTCGGGTGGATTTTACCTCCCCCTTGGATAACATTTGCACTATTTTATCACCAGACTTTTTACCAACATGTTCACCAGTTTTTGTTGCAGCCATTGTTAGTACTTTTTCACCACTTTTTTTAGCAGCTTTTTTCATTGTTTTTCCAAATATTTTTTTACCAACTGATTTAAACACATCCATCATTCCTTCTCCATAAATGTGTTGTCTTGTATATCTTCCCAATTCAGGGTCAAGTTTCATTTTAAACTCTGATTGACGCATCATTTTATTTTAATAGTTATATTACATCGAGTGAAGTATCAGTGTCATAAACCAATCTATTCCGTTAAAATTTACTGGTCTTCCAAGTGAGTCTGTAACATAGATTTTTATTTCATCAATGTAAAATGAAGAAACATCACAATATAATGGTCTTTTAGGTTCAAATGTAAATGGAAAAGACCTTGTGAGATTGTCTGTTGGTATTACAGCAATGGTATTTGTATTTATTCCATTTACAATGCTATTAGTTATTGCAGTTGTGTTTATATTTAGTACATCAATTGAATTTGTGATATTTGGTAATTTTGTTCCATACTCTGTACTTGTAATAAGTTTCTTTTCAAATCCAATCAGGTCTCCAAATTCTGTTCCTCTCAAATCAAGTTGATAATTACCATCAAGTGATACTAACACTCGATAAGTAGATAGTATAAAAGTTAGATTTATTGAATACACTTTTTTTCCACTTGAGTCTGTTGAGTGATGAGACTTTTGTGCCATATATTGATGAAGGTAATCATTAATATCTGAGTAGGAATACATTCCATCTGTAAAAGTAATTGTTTGCCAGGTTGAACCATCGTGAGTATATTTGATTTTATTGTTTCCATAATCACTTCTAATGTTGTACCAAGAGTAAGTCATAGACAGCCGATCAAGAGCAAGTTGGTGTTTTTTTTCAGGGTCAAGTTTCAAAGATGGATTAAACTTAATAGTAAAATCACCAGGTTTGTTTGCACCTCTTTTTTCCCTGTTTATAGAGGAAATGTGAATAGCTCGTTCTTCCATTTATTTAAATAGGTATATAACTTTTTAGTAGATCATTTAGTTGTTTTTTTGATATCACTTTCATTTGGTTGAGAAGATGTGCTATTTGAGAAAACTCAGGTATTACACCATTATTCCCAGCAAGAATTGAACCACCAAGTAATTCAAGTCTTTTTAGTAGTTCTTGTGGGTTGTTAAAGTAAATCATTCCAGAGCCAGATTTTGTTTTATAATACTTAAGATTACTTAAATTTGTTGAATATATGCTTAATATGTTAAAATTTTTTATGTTTTCTAATGTTTCTTCTCGTGGTTTTTTACTTTTTGGTTGAGCTAAAGTATAACCATTTGCGTCTCGTACAAAATCTGCAGTATTTTTTAATATTGCACTCAACTCTTCTAGATCTTCGTTAACATCATTAATTACTTTACTAACTGTAGAAACATCTTCTTTAAAAAACTCAGAAGGTAGTTTGTAATATTCGTTAGTTTTAAGTATATCTTGTGATTCTTTATTTATTAAATATCTATCAAGGTCTTCAGGAGTAAATTTTGCTATTTTTGGTCCCTCATCTGATGTAGAGGGTAAAACTCCATCATCTTCTTTAGGTGGGTCTTCAAAACCAGGTAATTGAGCCAAATCCCATTTTTTTACTTCATCCATTTTATCAAATCCTTCAGTTATAGCAAGTCTGTTTTGATTAAGTCCTTGTGTAAGAGCAAGTTGATTAGCTCTGAGTTGAGCTATAGTTGCGTTTTGCTGCTCATCAATACTTTTTTTAACACTATCCTGTGATTCAATAAGTGGTTTAAATGTCTCTCTGAAACCCTCCCGAGCATCTTGTTTTTGCCATTTTGTTGTTTTTATAACATCTCTCACCTGTTGAGTCAAAGCATCAGCTTCAATTTTATTTTTTGCAAGTTTTTTGTATTCTTCAATATTCATTTATATATTCTTTAGATAAATGGAAATACCAAACTATGATAGTGGTAACAACCCAGATAAAAAATATAAACAATTATTTCCTTACATGCCATCAAACACATTTCGGATGTTAATATGTGGAAACAGTGGAAGTGGTAAGACTAATCTGCTGTATCATATGTTAATTAAGCCACTACTGTATTATGATGAGATTTATCTTTACGCGCGTAATCTGGAACAGGATAAGTATCAAAAGCTAATTCAAAAAATGAGAGAGTTAAGTCATAAATTGGGATATGAAATACTTCATGTTAGTAATGATGAAATAATTCCAGTGACAGAAATGGATTACGAAGACAATCAAAAACTTGTGATATTTGATGACTATGTTTGTGATAAAAACCAAAGACAACTAATTGATTATTTCATTCAAGGACGACATAAGAATTGTTCTGTAATCTACCTCAGTCAATCGTTTTATAAAACTCCAAAGGATATTCGGTTGAATTGTTCTCATTACTGCCTGTACGAATTTCCATCATCGAGGGAAGCAAACAGAATATCATCTGAGTTAGGTGTTAGTAAAGAAGATTACCACGCAGCAACCAAGAAACCGTATTCATTTTTATACGTTGATAAACCAAGAAAACGTATTGCAAAAAACTTTACTGGTAATCTAAACAATAATTAAAATGGGAATATTTAACGAACAATCTCTTGATCATCCCTTTGCTAGGGGAGTACAAGGTGCACCAGGAGTTGGATTTAATCTCACTTCAAGTGGGGATTATGATATGATAAATAAAAAACTAAGAAATGTTGGTGCACCTAGTGCTAATACTGATGCTGCAACAAAAAAGTATGTTGATGATAATTCCAGTGGAACTCTCTCAACATCACGACTAACAGTTGATTCAAACATTGATATGAAGGACCAGTACCGTATTTTAAACCTCAAACATCCGGTTGACGCAGATGAACCAGCCACAAAACAATACTCAGACAGTCGTTTTCTTGACAGAAATGGTTCACGAACAATGATTGGCAATCTAAGTATGAATAATAATAAAATAATTAAACTTGGCACACCAACAGCTAATGATGACGCAGCAAACAAAAAGTATGTTGATGATAATTCTAGTGGAACTTCCTCAAGACTAACAGTTAATTCAAACATTGATATGAAGGATCGCTACCGAATTACAAATCTTGTCGCACCACAGGATTCTAAAGATCCAGCAACAAAATATTACGTAGACAACACATTCCTTGACACAGATGGTTCCTACCCCATGAAGGGAAATCTTAATATGGCCAACAATCGAATATTAAATCTGCCAGCTCCATCAGGTTCCAATCAACCAACACCATTAGCTTTCACAGATATGAAGTACCTCCACGTTGCTGGAACAAATAAAATGACTAATAATCTAAACATGGATAATAAAAAAATAATTAACCTTAGACCGCCAACATCAAACACTGATGCAACAACTAAAAAGTATGTAGATGATGCAATACCTGATACTAATTCTTTTATAAAAAAAGATGGAAGTGTAGTAATGACTGGAGACTTCAACACTGGCGGTCACAAAATACTAAATCTTCGAACACCTACAACAAACAGTGAACCAGCAACCAAAAAGTATGTCGATGATAAAACTTCTTCTGGTGGAAGCAGTGGAGGTAGTTTAGACCTATCTAATTATTTGAAAAAAGATGGTACCGTTACTATGACTGGTAACCTAAATCTTGGAAACAAAAAAATAGTTGGTCTCGCAACTCCTACATCAAATACAGATGCTGCAACAAAAAAATATGTGGATGATAATAGTGGAAGTCCAGACCTGTCTGATTACTTGGAAAAAGATGGTAGCATCGCTATGACTGGAAACTTAAATCTTAACAACAATAAAATAATTAACCTCAGTGACCCAACCACAGATAAACAAGCTGCTAATCGCGGATGGGTTCGTAAACAAATAGACCGCCTTGATCATCATTCTGGAAACGCCTCAAGTGGTGTGTTTACTATAACAGATCCAGCTGCGCCAACGACTTTGTATCTACAGTTTGTCTCAGGTTCATCATTTGATGATTTTGTTTTTACAACATCAGCACCTGGTCAACCTCTTGTAGGGTGGGCACCAACTGCTAACACATACATTAACAAAATAGAATTTCAATTTGGTTCGCGAAATGTAAACGTTGACTTTCTGTGGTTTATTCCTAGAGACAGTTCCAATTCCAATTCTAACTTTTGGGTAAGTGGAAATCGAACTGGCACTTGGTCATTAATTATTCAGAAGTCTTGGAGTTATGATATGTCAGGAGTAAGACTGCGAACTCATAACAATTCAAATCACACAGCTATCACTTGTCGGTTATTTACTGATCTACCAAAAGCAATAACCAAACCACTTAAGAGAATAGAAATCAACACACCTAAAATTGTAATAAGTGGGGTTATAAAAGCTGATATCGACCTTGGTGGTAATAAAATAGAGAATCTGGGTGTAGCAACCCAAGACAATGAAGCAGTAACCAAAGGTTATGTTGACAATCTAGTTTCTCATACTGCAGTTCAACCAAGTCATTATAAAGATGAGTTTAGTTACCTCATGTTAAGTGCATCTCAATGGACTGATGAAATAGATACTGGATATAGTTTTGATATAAGAAGTATAGGAGAATTAACTCCTTCTAAAGGTAATTTTCATGACTATAACTACAAAGTACTTTTCATGACTATATATAAAAATTGGGGAGGTAGATATAGATATAAGATGGGAATTAATTTTTACAGACTAACTGCAAATACTGATTACACGTTGTGTTTGGAAATACTAAACAGTGATTATAATCTTTGGAATAATACACAAATAAGTGTTGACAAAGGAACTTCAACAGGATTATCAATTGGACATTTAGGTGTAAAAAAACTATCCCATAACTATACTGATTCAACAGGGAAAACACAAACTATGTACTACCACAGAATAATAGTTAATTTCCGGAAGTTGTCATCTGGTAAAAGGTTCTTTCTTCACATTTTGGTTGATATTCTTCGTGGTGGATATAATGTGGCTAAGTATCCGAGACAGTTTATGGGGGTTTATATGATTGCTTATGGTATTATGGGTACATTTAGTAATATCGATCCAGATAAAGTTTACGATTATCACACCGCATTTGATATCTACCCAGGATATGTGATGTACAATGTTCCCCCCATCATAAATCGAAAAAAATTAGCACATATCAGTCTTGACCAAATAAGTGATGATAATTTTGCAACAATTAAATCAGTAAAAGAGTTAATTCCTTTACTAGAAAAAAAGAATTTGTATGAAAAATACTTTAGTGAATTCTATGACTTTGCTGATGCAGATAGTTATGGAATAAATATAGGTTCATCTGGAGTTATTATTAATTCTTTAAAGCCTAATATTACACTACCTCCTAATAAAGACCTAAGTGAAATAACAGAAAAAGGATTACATGTTAATGGTTATGATGTTACTTTTTCTCCTTCACATTCTTCAAAATCTACTTTATGTATTGTTTTTAGTCATTGGAGAAATAGGAGTTTTACCCTAACTAAATATTTATCAACAAACAATAATATGTTAGTAAAATTGGATTATAATAAATCAAATAATAAAGTAACTTTAACTGTCAACAAAACAACTCAAAATTTTACCATGCCAGGTAGTTTTAATGGAAAAATAATTGTTTTATATCTGTCAGAAAATCTTAGTTCCAATGTCACAAAAGTTATAATTAGTAACTACAGCTCAACATTAACTATACCAGCTGTTAATTACAATGCTAATCAACGTTGGAAGTTTACAACTGAAGATGGAGTGATATTAAGATTAATGTACTCTACAAACTTTTACGATGACGACTCTATTCAATTTCACAAAGTAATGCTTCAAGAAAAGTTAAGTGGAAGTTATGTAATATAAAGAATAAATGAAAAGAAATAGTAGTAAAAAGAGTATTTTTGAATTTAATCATATTGATAAATCTTTATCAAAAGAGCAAATAGAAACTATTACAGACCTTTATAAACATTACCATAAGAAACATTGGTGTTATAAAAAATCTTATAAATCTTATAAATTTCTAGATAATTTTTTTACTATTTCTAGTTTGTCTCTTATTGCTGTAGGCACTATCACAGGAGGGTTAACACTCAATCCTATTATTCTTGGAGTAATCAATGGTGTAGGAGTAATTGTGGGCGGGGTTGCAAAAAAAAAGGATTTTAAAAAGAAGATAGAATCAACAAAAATGGCATATACCACTTATGAAAAAGTTCTTGTTGAATTACGATCAGCACTCAGAGGCGATGAGTGGAGTAAAGAAGAGTTTGTAGATCGTATTAAAATATTAGATGAAATAATAATTGATCAATGTCCATCGAGTGTTGATAACTTTGTGGAGAAGTATAAAAATAAATTTAATATAGATTAAATATTAAAATTAATATTTAATCATAAGTATCTAAAAGTATATTTTTGATTATCTTTCTTTGAAGTTGCTGATTTACAAGATTTTCTTTTACAACAAATGTTTGAAATACTACCAGCATTAATATCTAATTCAATCGAAGCTTTTTTGATGGATATAAATCTACTTTCTTTTCCAGTTTCAATACAGGTAGAAATTATTGCCTTATTTTTACTTTTTTCAATATTTTGCTTATGTGTAAGTAGTTGTAAGTTTTTAATTCTATTATCAGATTTACAAGAGTTTACGTGATCAATCTCAAAAAATCTCGGAATTGGTCCGCGAAAAACCTCATAAACAAATCTGTGTTGAGAATATATCTTTGGTTTTTCTAGTTTTTTACTACAAATATTAAAAAATAGATAACCATTAGAATCTTTATTTTTATTTATTATTTTCTTTCTTTTAAGAGAGTAAATATCTCCATCTTTATTTGCAGCATAATTAGAAAACACTGGGTGTTTGTAGTATTTTACACCATCAATTATAACTCTTTGTTTTATTCTTGTATCCATCATTTTGTAATAACCATATTTTCTTATAGATGGTAATACCTTAGTAAATACCCACTCACGAAAGAATTTTGCAGTAGGTAATCTGGATTTAAAAACTAATTCGTAAAAACCTGGTTCATCTATAAAATAAGTCATAGAGCAACCCGCCGTTTTGGCGGGTTGGTTCGAAATAACTTTTCTTTTGTGATTTTCTGATACATGTTTTCGAATAGCTTTATCAGTATCACAGTAGCCTAAGATAGTAGCTACTTCTTTAGCTTTGAACCAAACCCTTAGTTTTTCATCAATATAAGATTTAAACTTGATTCCAAGATGTCTATTTATAAAAACTTTTTCTAAAGTGTTTTCCATTTTATATTATATTTTATTTCTTTAAATAACATTTAATTTTATATTAAATTAAGGAGTACCACTTTTAGCCACCGTACCCGTTTTGGATACGCTGGAATGGTGAGTTTATCCCTTTACAACAATTCCACCATTTTTCATAAATCTCAAAAGTTATAGAACTAATTTTAAGTTTAATAAGTTTATACTTTTCACAACCCATCTCCTCCAAAATTTTTTTAGTTAAATAATTAATATTTATCATTCTCTTTCTGAAGTATTGCTTGTTTAGTATTTCCATGATATGATTATCTATTTTTGTTAGATTATCGTAAAGTTCACATTTTTCTTCATCATTTAGGTTTATTCTTTTAGAAATTTCATTTACCTTTTTCTCATAGTGGTATTTCCTTTGATAAATACTCTTTTTTCTATAATGTAGTCTATCCAAATCTTTTACATCAAATAATCCTAATACATGACCGTTTACTGTACCACATTCCTCACAAATTTTTTGACCTGAATCTATTGTAAAAAATTCAGTATTTGGACAATTTAAACATTGTGCTTTTTTACTAATTTGTTGAATAGGTGGTTTTTTATATTTATGAAGTATAGCTAAATATTTTTTTATTTCCTCCTCTGTATAAGTCATTTATTATTTAATAATTTACTACTTTTAAATTATTTTTTATCTAAAAGCTAAAGTATGAATATTATCTTGGAGTACCTCTCTTTTATCATCTTCATTACTTAACGCTATTTTGTTAACTTCTTTTGAATATATATCATGTTTTTCACTTCTTATTATTTTCATACTTCTCATTTCTTTTTCACCTGAAAATAGACATTTAACATAATCATCAAATTCTAATTTCTTTTTCACAACATTTTTCTTAATTCCTTTACACTTTCTTACTTCCCTATCCTCTTCAATTTTAAAACTATAAAGTTTGGGACGCAACCCAACAAAATGAGTTATTTGTTTCCCTGCTACTTCATCTTTAAACATCCCAATCACTTTTTTATTAACTCCTGTAATTATTCCAGAAGGATGAATGAGAGGATAATCAGAAGTATCAAACTTGGTTAAAATATCAGGATTTATATCTTTATAAAAATCTTTTGTTTTAATCTCATACATTAAACTATCCGTATCTGTAAACAATAATTCTGCTTTTTTACCGTATTTCTCTTTAATATACGTGTAATGAAAATTGAACATTAGTGTTTTTGATAAATCTAGAATTGCTTGACCAACATAAACTGGTTTGTTAAAATAAACCTCTGTCTTTAGCATATGAATAGCAATAAGATTTCGATCAAATATTGTACATCTATCAAAGTTAGGTTTACTTGATAGTTTGAGAGCTTTCTTACGATTATTTATAAGATATATATTTTGCCGCTTCCTTATATTTTCTATTGTCTTTCCAAAGACACTGTTATTCATTAATTTGAAAAAGTCTTTCTCAAAATTGTTGGTTGCTTTCTTTCTAAGTTCAGTATTTTTTCTAATATATGGTTCCATCCAATTAGACTGATAAAATGAAATTCCTCTATGAACAGCTGTTATTCTCATACCCAACTCAAGACATTGTCTAAGAGTGCGATAATGCACAACATAATTCTTTCGGGGTTTAAAATGACAAATTAATTTTTCAACACCATTTACAATCATCTTCTCTGGTGCTAGAGGATAGTCATTATGTGTTTCCCATAGGTGAGGAGGATACTCTAAATCAACTTCAAATATATAACCTTTACGTCCAATATTTGACATACTATGATTTGCTTTCTCAAAAATATCCATTACCTTTTCCACTGTTATATCTTTTATCCATTTAAATCCATGTGTTGGGAGTTGCTGTGTCATTGCCCAACCGTAAAGATTGTTTGCGTCGAGATATTGTATATAACTAGACTCCACATCAGGATTGTAATCTTTCATATATTTATTATTCGCTTCTGCATATCTTTTTGATATATGTGTTATTCCACCACGTATACCACGCTCAAACATCATTAACATATCATAATCATGTATTAACTCTAATTGTTGACCTGTTTCTTTTAGACATGCATCCCAAGCTAGACCTGGAGATGTATAATAATGTGCTGGATCTAATTTGTAATGTTTAAGACAAGTTTTTCTAAAGTTTTCAAATACATCTGCCAAAAGCAATACATCAGATTTTAGGTAAAGATTGTGATAGTCTCTCATTGTTTTACACCCAAATGTATTCCAGACTTTAATTGCATGTTGGTAATCTTCATCTGATATATCCTCATCATTAAGTTGGGAGTAGAATTCCTCTTTTGGTGGAAGTTGTGTTTCTGATAATTTATCAAGTGATGAAACATAATCATAAGGATAAACTCCCTTACGAGTTAGTAAATCTACATTTTTCTTGAATTCATGATTTGTATTATGAAAGTCATCTGCTGATAAATTTGAAACAAGATTGGCAAGTGATGTTTGAAGAAACTTGAATGAATCTAAAAATCGTATTTCAAAATTTATTGGAAATGATTTTCCAAGTTTGTGGGAGTAGTATTCACCAACTTCAATACTTTTTGAAAAAGAAATATATTTTTCTTCTGTTGATGGAATACAACTTAAATCTCCTTCTAATCTAGCAAGTTGTTTTATAAACAGATGAGCATCATATCCCTGAAGATTGTGAAATATAACTGGTAATACTTTTGGTTTTTTACACATAAGATTACATTTGTTATGTGCTGCTCCACGATACTGGCCTGTAAAGTGACAATGATCTCTAACTTTATCCTCTTTTAATTCACCATCACAAATATGGCAATTAACTGCTTTCTCAAATGATTTTTGTTCTGCACTAGTTAGTCTAAGAGGTTTTGGTTTTTTATAAAAATCATTATAAATTCCTTTAGTTACTTCCACAAGTTTTTCCACAAATACTTTTGATATATCTTCATCTTCAGAAGTTTTTGTATAAATAATTGGTTCAATTTTTGTATCAACTACACCCTTTACATAAAAGCAAAATCCTGATGGTTCATGTTTTTGATAATTATAATTATAAGAGTCTTTTGGATTAGGACTACAACTATTCATTGGTTTGGTAAAGCATTCAAAATCTGCATAAACTACAAAAGGAATAGGAAGTTTTTTGTAATGATTTTTGAAATATAGCATTGTGTTTGGTT